TGATCAGACTTTTAATCTGCTTTTATTTTTATTCACTGGTATCAATTTAATGATCAGACTTTTAGTCTGCTTTTATTTACTGGTATCAATTTAATGATCAGACTTTTAGTCTGCTTTTATTTACAGGTATCAATTTAATGATTAGACTTTTAGTCTGCTTTTATTTTATTTACTGGTATCAATTTAATGATCAGACTTTTAGTCTGCTTTTATTTTATTTACTAGTATCAATTTAATGATCAGACTTTTAGTCTGCTTTTATTTTATTTACTAGTATCAATTTAATGATCAGACTTTTAGTCTGCTTTTATTTACTGGTATCAATTTAATGATCAGACTTTTAGTCTGCTTTTATTTTATTTACTAGTATCAATTTAATGATCAGACTTTTAGTCTGCTTTTATTTACTGGTATCAATTTAATGATCAGACTTTTAGTCTGCTTTTATTTACTGGTATCAATTTAATGATCAGACTTTTAGTCTGCTTTTATTTCTATTTACTGGCATCAATTTAATGATCAGACTTTTAGTCTGCTTTTATTTTTATTTACTGGCATCAATTTAATGATCAGACTTTTAGTCTGCTTTTATTTTTATTTGCAGATATCAATTTAATGATCAGTTGGGTTCCAACTGCTTTGAGTTGATACTCCCTTTCGTTTTACAGAATTAATCACAACCACATAGTTTTAATTAATTTAGTGAACCAGATCCAATTTAGGGTCTTTGTTAAATCTGCGTTAGTTAGGTAGACAGGTACCTACCGATTTAACGGTCAACGGTTGTATATAAACCTTGCTATTGTTTTTATTATTATTATTTTTTGTAGACAAATAGAAACATCACTAACCACAAGCATAATCTTAATATATATAAATTACGTGTCACATTGTTTGTCCGTTATAGACTCCCAAACTACCGAACCGATATCAATCAAACTTGCACACCGTGTGCAGTTTGATCTAACTTAAAAGATAGGATACATCTCAATTTATACCCGCAATATTATTTTATTGCAAAATATTTGTTTCTTATTTAATAGTCACCATTCTAACAGATGGCGCTGTGTTAAAAGTACCAACGTTTCACATAATTCTTTCAACGTTTCTACAATTAAATGGCATAACCACCATAAAGCATGGTGGTCCCCATGACTCGTGTTCTCCTACCGTTTCCCTTGAATAGTTTACTACTTTGTAATATAACAAAAACCTTAGCCACAGCAACGCTTGGCCGGTCTACTAGTACAATATATTTCTATCACTATGTAGGTAGGTGCTACAAAACAATCGTACATTTAATGTAGGTACCCGTAGTTTAGATTAGCTGAACCTATAGGTCATTATTTGTTTATATCCTTAGCTCAGTAATTGCAGAGGTTTGTTGATTACTGTTTAAATGTAGGTACGACAATATTAAATATTGTAATACAAGCAAAACATTTATGAAATATGAAAACAATAAGTACCTAAGTGCTGTTCATATTTCCCGTCAACAATAAAATTATCTACATTCGTTCAGAAGTCAAGATGCAACTGTTTCTGCTATCAATAGCTAATGATTAAAACAACCGGGTCATAGTAAATTATAGGCAAAGTACTCTGGGAATGACGTCACTTGTTTAGTGCACCGTATCTTTCCCTTTTTTTTTTACTTATGTGTACTCACTTTTTCCTCGTCGCCACATGTAACGTCCTGCTTCTTGGAGTGATTTACGGCTCACCAACACCACAACACTTGTACAAACATCCTACACACAACCGCTCCGTTCGGATGTCGGATTACGACTGACAGTCTGACAAGTGACGTAGGCGCATGAGACAACCAAGCAACACTTTATTTAGTCAATACACTACACTATTTTTTAACGAAACTGAGATATCCTCCCTGACAGATATTTCTTACCTCCTTAACCGGGTACAAATTGGAACATTAATTTGTGCCGCAGGCGGTTGTTTGCGTTTACGTCAGAGAGGATGTCTGTTCTCGTCATCTCGGGTCGCTTGAAGGACCTATCTATACTCTGGCAGCGTGTGCCCTTACTACTACTAATGCCGAAACTGACCGACTTCTCGAGTACATCCAACCTTTTAGTATGTCTCTTCGCATTTAACTCGACTTCCGATGACCAAGGGAAGGCACTACCGACAATATCGCCAAGTGATACTTCGATGCCAGAAATTGTATTTCGGCAACGTACTATTTGCAAAGTTTTAACATCCTTGAACGTATAGAAGTCGAGCGAGCCTCAGTTCGTCGTGGTCACTAGGCTGGTGACCTTCTCGTTATTTTTATTTTATTTTTTTTATTTTATTTCAAAAGGCACACTAACGAAACACATACAAACACTTACAGAGAACACATAACATAGAAAACAAGATACATGCATGTGCATCAATAACAAGTGTGCACAACATTTATAGGGAAACATTACAATGATGAAGAGAAAGTAAAAAAAAACTAGATTAAAAAAAAATACAAACACATATAAATAAAAAACAATAATTTTCAACTTTGCAATTATCACTATTGGTCACGGATCAACATTGGCTGCAGTATCTTACGCCTGAAGACATGGAGACTGTCACTAAATGGATCTGCTTGGCATGTACTCAGAGCGTCGTTTAATGTCGATAGAGATCTGTGTAGAGGAGCATTACAACCGACGTTGGTCCTCACTGCCCGAACGTAAAAAAGGATTGAAGTTTTTCTTGTGTTCCTCTTTAAGAGGAAGTTAACTTGACTTAAAACATTAGGTAAATCTACTAAGTTATTTAAATTTTTGAAAACAAATATAATGTCGATAAGGCGGCGTCTATCGCGGAGTGATTGTAAGTGAAAGAAAGCTAGTCTTTTTTCATACTCGCATTTATAGCTAATGTTATTATTTAATCGGCATAGATGTTTGGAGAAATGGCGGTTAATTCGTTCGATTCTGTCAACATGGACAGAATATTGAGGGTTCCAAACAACACTACCATATTCCAAAATGCTACGGACCAGAGAATTGTAAAGTATGATTTTAGGCTTCACATTCTTAAAACACTTAGTCGACCGCCTTATTAAACCTAACATTCTAGAAGCTTTATTGACTATTGCATTGTAATGTGGTATGAACGATAAATTACTATCTAGTATTACTCCTAAATCCCTAATTTCATTGACCTGCAGTAGTAGTACTCCGTCGATAGTGTATTTAGAGGGGACTGGTAGTTTCTTTTTAGAGAAGGTAATTTGCGAACATTTTTTGGCATTTAGAACCATTTTGTTATGATCGCACCACCTCTGTATACCCACTACGTCACTTTGCAATAACTCCACATCTTGAGCGCTATTAATTACTTTAAAAATTTTCATATCATCCGCATACAAAGAAAAATTACTATATTTAACAAACGAACCAATATCATTTACAAAAAGAGTAAATAGGAAAGGACCAAGATGAGAACCTTGTGGAACACCTGATGTGGAAATGTACGATTGCGATTCTATACCACCAACTGCCACAAACTGAGTTATCTTACACATTGGCAATTGACGGAACCGTATCAAGAGAAAAGCCCCAATCATATTATGTACATGTATTAATGTACATTTGCTGTTTTAGGCGACATCGTCGATTGGCAATTTGTTCTCTAGTGAATGACAGGGGAAATAAAAGCCAGTTGAAAATGGAACATTTTATTAAAATCTAAATAGCTTGGAACGTGGAAGATCCTAATTCCCAATGGACAGACTTAGGCACAATGCAAAACGTCGAAGTAAATTACCAGCATTACAAAACATATTTGTGTACTAACGGTAACCATAAACTTATATTTGTACAAATAAACCGTTTATCTTGTTTATCACAGAAAAAATAGACGACTTAATTCATTATTTAACATTTGTAGACAAATTGTCTGACTAAAGGTAGTTATTAAAAATAATTCGGATGTCCATAACATTTATAATGCGTAAATTAAAATGTAATCTTAGCGAAATTAAGATAAGTACGAATACATAAACTTAGCAAATCCTTAAACGTATGCACTAAAATACATTGTTCGAATTAATCTCAAAATGTAAATAAATAAAAAAACATACTTAAAAACATTTTCTTAATATATATTTTTAAATCTTTCAAAAACGCATCTAATACTTCCCAAACCGTGCATTAGGGTCCTCTTAATAATAAATGTGAAATATAAATGTTTATTGAATTGTTTTTTTATTTCGCAAAATGTAAAAGACCGTTGAGCACTAGTTAAGACTCGAGCAACTCTGAATATTGAGCTCAACAGATATGAGCTGACTGCTGTGAGCGAGTTCCCTACACTTTCAGCTATTGCCTATTACATGAGTATGGCGGTGTTTACCGAACTATTCTAAGGCAGTTCGAAAATGCGGTATATTTTTCTAACCTATTTATCAGTCAAAAACCCTGGCCAACATTTTTTATACAGTACATATAACACAATGGAATAATATTTCTCTATATATCTATTACAACGTTAAGAACAATTAATTATGTTCCACTTCACGTAAACAATTAGCTTACGAGAACTGTATTTTATAACATTATCTATACAAAAACTGGTCTATTACATTATTAGAGTAGTGATTGCATTATAATTTATGAGACCACTATTTCTCAAATCCGACAAATAAAACTCTTATAGTTAACCATTTTCTTCACTTAGCACTGCGGACAATTGCTCGCTATTGCAATAACTGATATTGGTTAGGTATTACTTAACTATAGATTAAAGATTTTCTAAAAAATGACTCGGTTAATGTTTCATTCCATATACTACAGTGGGTACAGACAGTCATAATAGTGTTTAAGATAACTTCATATAAACTTAATTACCCCGGAGTCCCACATATGCAATTTATCGGGATCGATTACGTATACATAATCGGAAACATAAGGGTGGTAAGAGCCCGGTCACGGCACCTAAACGTTATCAATATTTCACGAATAACGAAACGTCCGCTGTACAGAAGCGCGGACGCGTTACTGCGCCGCGTAAATGTTCGCCTGCTTGCCCACGGCTTGGTCGTAGGACGGCGGAAGCGCTGGAACGTCGAACGTTTCAAATCAAAATAAAATATTAAAATGGAATGTTCGTGTTCGTGATAACGAGCTTATCAGCTCTACCGTGTCCTCTCGCGATATGCGAGGATGACGACATTTATTATGAAGGTGAATTGTATTTGCGGCTTTGACTCGTAATAACATGGGAAATTCCAATGGGTTTCTCCCCTTTTGCGTGAAACCGATCTCTGGTCAAACATCAAACAAATGACATAACATTAATCTGACATTTCTAATCCTTACTCCTTATTAGGAGTAAAGATTAGCGGTAGATTCAAATTTTAATGCAAAAAGGAAATTTAAATGAACATGAAAAGAGACTACTATGGTATGAAGTGTTGTAACTAGAAAATGTGAGCGTGACATTAAAACAACTGAGACGTGATAAATATAATGAGGGCAACGAGACGAACCTTGTGGATGCCAACCCGGGGCCGCTAATCCGAGGAAAGCTAACAACATAATATTGTGCCCATTTATGATCTACTTTTGCAAATGTTTATTGAGAAGCAGGAAAAACCTAAAGGAAACATAAATAGAACTACGACGACACGTCACACCTCTCAAACGTGTCATTTTCACCAGAATTTATAAGTTTAATTTAGACTTTCTAAAAATTTCTTTTAAAATCTCCTCAATCAGTGCTTGCGTATACAATGTGCGACACTTAAACAAGAATTGTTTCAAAGTGACTTACCGCTGGCTTCAGGGGCACTAGGCTGCGCAGCCGGATATGAAGAAGAGCCAGTCGAGAAGGGCGCAGCCGCCGTGGGATAAGGCGCTCCGCCCGTGGGGTAAGGCGCCCCGGCCGTCGGGTAGGGGGCTCCCGGAGCGGGATAGGGCGCCCCCCCTGACGGGTAAGGGGCCGCCACCGGATAAGGTCCGGCGGGATAAGGCGTCGCCGTGGGATACGGCATACTGGTATTTTGTAGTGGGTACTGAGACGCGACTGAAACGATTTCAATTAAATGAGTGACACTTACCTATTTCGATTCCTAGCTATGCTAACGAGGGGTCTTCGACAAACCCATTACTTATAGATACAACTAATATTGCCAGACAATGAGGTTAATCACATACCAGGGTACTGATGAGGCGACGCGTATTGCTGCTGAGGATATGGCGCGGGTGGCACGGGCACTCGCACGGTGCTGGCTGCAAGTGCAAAGAATGATTCTTAGTAAGCTTTAGTATGAGTGTGACAATAACCTTTAGGACTGTAATTTGTGATCTATGTTTTTGAACTTTTGAGTGAGTTTTACTTTTAATTCAGTTATTGCATAAGGTTACAAGTTATTGATGATAGAAATCATGGAGTACTCACTCTCAACGCTGAGCACTTCACCCCTGTTCCGACGACGACGGCAACAACAAGCCAGGATCATAAGCAAGATGACAATACCCACTATTCCATATGCTATTGTTGACATATTCATTCTTGAAAACTGTTTATGGCCCTAAAAATACTTGTTGCTTAGTTTAGATGACTAGAAAACCTTTTACATATATAAACCAGTAATAATTATTACATTTTTAAAGGCATATGAATATAGATGAGTATATTTTTTAATTTACTAAATAAAATCATTACTAAATTATTATCATTTTTCAAATAGGTATATTACAATAATAAGTCCCAAACATATTGAGTAATAGGTATCAAACAGAGACTTGCAATAATGAAAACTTTTGTTTGTGTGAACTTGACAATTTAAGAATCTATTACAGTAGCATATTTTAAATTGTATTCATGGAATATAAATTCATTCTAATAAGCCTTTTAAGTAAATGTTATAGCAGCCTAACAATTTAAGCAGTTACGGAAAATTTAACTCAATTACATGATAAAAATATAAAGTATAATTTTATCAAACGCTTGAGGCATAAAAGAATCCTAATGGAAAATAAGGAATATGACTCACCTCATAAAAATTATCGAAATCTTTGTCGAATTCTTTAGAATCAAACATATTATTATAGTACTATAGGAATAAGATAAATCACATCTTAGTCAGCATTGATATGACATACAGTACGATATGAAATTATAATTTATAATACCTACGTCTGCAAAAAATACTAGAATTTCCTGCTACGAGTAGTGATAATGGGATATTATTTCTTTTTACAACAGCTTTTTTGTTATTAAATATAAAATAAAATTTCTTATAATAATATGACACTAACACGATTCGCGGAAACAAATTAACGAATTGTTAAACACATCGTAAGATATTTAAGGCTCAATGAATATTGGATTATGAATAATTCGTAAAAATAATAGATATGTACAAAAGGCAATTTCATTAATCAGTAATCACGATTCACTAGTCACTAGTCAAAAATCAAAATAGAATCATTCTAATTTCTAAATGTTATACAGATAACCACAGACAGCAGAATTCTTAATAGTTATAAAAATCATTACCAAACAAAAATAAAAAAAATGAGATTTACATATGGCAATGTCAAGTGTCCTCCGTCAGATCACAAAACGAGACCTGTCAGCCGCTTCGATCTCAGGCGAGAAATATTAAAACAAGAAAACTTCGTTCATGGTAGACGTTTTTTTTTCACGGTGGTGAATTTAATTTTATTTTACTAGTTAAACGCAGAGGATAAGCTGGTAGTTTTAATTTTTGTATTATATGTAATCTTTATATCATATTTGTGTATAGTGTCATCGTGTAGTCGGTAAGTTTTTGTAAATATTGTATGAACAAGCATATACATTCAAATATCCCTCAAGACTCTAACGCGGGAAATTCAAACAACACCTCAGCTTCAGTAACCAATACGGACCCCCGTTCGATTGGTCGTACTGAATATGTTCCTACTGATGTTTCCCCTTATTTAATACATGTTCAACGTATACAAAGTTCACCTGACGACGGGACCATTCTGCATCCTATAACATTTGGCAATTTTTTAAAGCAGAACAAATTTAATAATATTATTCCCGGAAGTGTAAAGCGTATAGGAAGAAACAGGTGCGCAGTTGGCTTTTCAGATTATAAAGACGCCAATAATTTTCTTAACTGCAATCTTTTGGAAACGAAAAAGTTAAAAGCCTTCATTCCCACTTTCAGCGTAACAAGAATGGGTCAAGTTCGCCGGGTCCCTGTAGATTGTAGTGTAGAGGAAGTTCAACAAAATGTATCCGTACCTATAGGCTGCGGCAACATACTTAAAATAAGACGTTTGAATCGCAAGGTGAAAATTAATGACTCGGTTTCTTGGAAACCCTCTGAAACAGTTTTAATAACATTTGATGGGCAAGTTTTACCAAAAAAAGATTTTCATGAGCTATAATGCTCTTCCAGTAGATATATATTTATCCAAGCCATGGTGGCGTAGCATTACTTGTCAGAAACTCAATAAATTTTTCTGAAATAGTGTTTTCTTCATTATCTCTAATGATGCCATTAATATTGTCGGCATGAAAATTTATTAAAATTATTCTTCATATTTTTAAATTATTTCTTCGTATAGTAATATTTGCGAGTGTGGAGAAGATATTGGTGACCGTGACCATATTTTCTTTTCTTGTTCACAATATTACCGCACCGCACCTCCTTTCTAAATTCCTTACAATTACTTATGTTCCGTTTCCGACTAAAATCTCCTGCCTTTTGCTTTATCCTTTATTGAATTATAATGTATTATCTTCTTTCATAATCAATAATAATATTAAGATGTTTGTGTACATATTTTGTTTTTAACCAGCTTATCCCTTTATTTCCTTTTTGATGTCTTTGTTTTTTTCTCGCGTGTAGTTTCCCAACCTTTTACTTGAAACTGGCATTAAGTTAAAACTATTGCCATAATATTTAAAAAAAAAGAAACAAACTCAATATTTGATTTTTAAGGTAGAGTTGACCCTTTAGTTGGACTGTGTGGTTTTGATACTTTTACTTTATTTTATATTTTTCTTCGGTACTTAATTGTGACTTCTTTATTGGGATTTCCAGTACTACTATACGGCGAATCGTAGCTGAGGGCACATTGAACGATGGCAAAGAAGAAAATCAACTTGGCCAGTTTCGATTTACAGTTGATTGGGAATAAAGGAATTCTACACACGCTAATTCCAAATCTAACAAGACCTACATAAATTGTTATGGATAGTTAGTTTTATGTCTCCATCAAAAGGGTCCTTCCTGATTGACAATTTAAATGTTCAAAATCAATCTCCTTAAGTATAGGTCTGTAAAAAATAATAACATTTAACATGTTACTCAAACGATAGCTTAGTCATTCGTTCATCATCAGTCTATATACATCCCACTGCAGGGCACAGGCCCCCTCTTACGATCGAGAGAGGTAATATTACTTAAAAATTTTCTAACCTCAGAGATACTCTTCCTCCGTTGAAATCAATATCTTGTCGAAGAATTCGTAACAGTTTCATAACTGTTGGAATTTGCTTCGAACTATATAGAATTCCATTACTTTATTCCCAATCAATTGAAAATCGAAACTGTCCAAGTTGATTTTCTTCTTGCCGCCTCTCCTCTTTTTACCAGGCGCGGAAAACACACCATTCGATGTGCCCTTAGCACGATTCAGCGTTTAGTAGTACTGGAAACCCCTATAAAGAAGTCAAAATTAAGTAGCGAAGAAAACTATGGTAAATATTCCGTATCGCGGCACCAGCGATTTTCGAGTTTTCAGCTCCATAACTAGTGTTGTTATGATGGCGCATGACCTTTTTTGCCAAAAAAAAATCAAAAAGTACCCAAACCGAATCAGAGCACCCCACTATTCATGTGGTCTTGTCAGCCTTACCCCTAAAGTGTATATAAAAAGTCGGAGGCGCGGAGGAAGAGCAGCCCCCACCCGCTGTAAAAATGAATAAAATGCCTGTGCTTTGGTACGCAAGGGAGGAGGGGCTGCATTTCCCGCAGCGCCGGAGCTGTCTTAAAAACCTATTATTAATATTGTTCGGTTAGGTTAGGTTAGTATATTTTTTAATAAATTAATTTTTTTTTCATGCGCCTTCATCATTTCAGTTATGATGTTTACAGATCATAACGCGACTGTAAAAAAAAAAAAACCTCAAATCGCTGGCCGAAACTATTAAATAAACAAAAAGTATCAAAACTGGACAATCAGGACTGAGTACAGTCCAACTTACCGGTGAACCGCTTTAAAATCAAAGGTTGAGTTTGATTTACACCTTCTTTGTCCTTTATTTCACGATAAACATTGAAATCAATATTTCTCGCTTGAGATCGAAGTTGCTTTTTCGACAATTTCACAAAAACAACAAATTATAATCACAAAATCTCAGCAGTGGTTGACAGATCTCGTTCTTTGATTTGACGGATAACACTTTACATTGCCATAATATGATAATGTCATTCTTTTATTTTTGTTATATGCCATGAGATTCTGGTACCAACCTATATACTGTTTTTGAATTTAAAAAAAATCTTGTTGAATGGTTCCTACTAGCTAATCTGTGTATTATTATTCTCTGCACTCGCATCCCTATGGCCTATACTTTACAGACCATAGAGTATAGTCTTGCCTCTACTTAGTTACTACTTACCACTTACTCGTGAAAACTGAAAAGTGACTAGTGAGTAGCGACTTACGACTACTAGATAACTAGAAGTAGTGATGGGTAGGACAAACGAAATTGAAGTGTTTGTATGTCCCACCTCATTTTATAAAATGAGTTAATACATTGTACCACTTCATTTGAGGATTCTGTTCTGTACTGTTAGTCCCTTTATGTACGAATCCATTGTCTCTATGGCGCAGGTCTTTCGACCAAAAATAAATAAAAAAGGGTGCGTGTACTTATGTACGCGCGTAAGAAGTTATACTTCTTTGGCATTATTAAAAATAGTTTTTGATTGCATGCAAATAATTAATTACAATCAAAGACTGGAAAAGGAGTCATTATAGTCAATATTTTTTTTTTTTAAGTTCAGTTTACATTTGAAAAATTAAATATTTATTATTATTCTCTTACATTAAGTGTAACATAAATTCTATTATTATTCGAATGCCGTAGCATCTTCTGTGGGCAACTTCATTCTGTTAATTTTGTGTAACGGTGCGCGCGCTACGTAAAATTTCACTCTCATCAATTTTTCATAACGCGCCTAAAGAAGTATAACTTCAAAAAGTCAAGTTATTTATGCAAACAAAAACCAATTACAATAATATGTCACAGTGAACAGTCACTGTCACTCATTCAATAATATCGATTTAATCAGTTGCTCATCAGACACGATTTTTAACTATTGTCATTGTCCTACTTGGGATGGGAGAATAAGACAAAACAATTCATCTCAACTCATTCATGACATACGACTCACCGCCTCAATCACATTCAGCGCCTAGCCCGCGTTTGAAAATTGAAATACCTCAACGAGTTTGAAGCGTTACAAAATGTGTGTTTGAGGTGATGCGACATTTGACAACTTTGAGTGTGACATTTGAGGTGCCTCATGTATGAGGTGCGCAACACTAACTAGAAGTACTAGATAGTTGCCAGTTGGTGCCTGGTCACTGGTGGTTTCGTAACTTATGTATATTGTATTTTTTATTACTAATTACTAAATAATTAGAGGTTATTACGTTTCAGTTTATTAATCAATCATTATTCTGAAATCTGAAACTTTTCAACTTTAAAATGTTGTGTCATTTATTTCGTATACTGCCCCTAAGTTACCGGTCAGTAGGAACTTGTTCTTTCATCACTATACCAAAATATGAAATGCATACGGATGTTACTAGATATGCTGTAAAGAAAACAACCTCGGCTGCTGGAGGTATTCTAAAAAATATCTCTAACATTTATCCTTAAATTAAATTTAAAACAGTACAGTTAGTCGAATTTATAAAAATATCTTAATTTTACATAAATAAGTTCAGTATTTGCTATACTGCTAAAATAAGAGTTAGTGAATGCTATGGGTGTGTGTGTTTAGTAATTTGAAACAATGTAACCTGTATGTCATGATTGTAGGTGTGTTGGGTTTGGGTCGAGGTAAGAAGAAAGTGGGCAAAGTTAGTGCTATGGAGAAAAAGCAGCTTCCGGTTGAGTCAGATCCTGAAAAACTTGTAAATTATGTTTGTGGCTCAAATATTTATCTCACTGGTGAAGATGTCAAGGTGAGGGTCCACAAATGCAAATCATAAAATTTCCAGCTTAAGATAATGAGATATGAGAGATGATATATTATATATTATTGCACCCCTTACCTATTACATTATATACCTTTGTATATTTTCTGATTTAGCTTTAATTCATTAGTTAATTTAGTATAGCAGCAAGCAGATCAGACACTGCGTCTTTGTCAACTGCACCTAAAATGATTTACTAATCCCTGGAAAAGACATTAAATAATCTTATACAGAGACAAACAGAGGTAATTTACTTGTCAAATCATGTCTACAGAATTATTCACAACAGAGGCCTGGTATATGTTTTGAAATTATTATTGTTATGTATCTTGTTTGTTGCAATGTTCACATAGTAGCTGCAGTGTGCTGGCTGATCAATCCACGGCTATGCACCAAAGCCATTTTTGTATATGACGTGTGCATCAAACACAAGCTTTTATGGTGTGTACGTACATTGTGAGGTAACTGGCTTATCTTGTCAAAGCAAAAAATCAATAACGTGTGCAATAGAAGACTGTTCACCTACTTGTCAGTGAAATAAAAATGATCAAAGAAATGGATGTAATCTGAGGCCAAGATCCAAGGGTTGAAGCGCCACTGGATTATCATTATGTATCATGTTAAGTAATTCTCCTCCATTTAAAGGTGATGATTAATTTATGCTCTTATTTCTGTAGATAAAAGAGGACAGAGAGTACCCCAATTGGCTGTGGACTTTAAACAGAGGAGCTGCACCTCGTATAGAAGAACTGGACCCTAACACAAAAGAATACTGGAAGAGAGTTAGGGCTGCTGGAATGAGGAGAAACAATAAGCTGCGATCAATGAGAAAGTTTTAGTTTAGCAACAACATTGTGGCTTTGTGTTAATTGCACCAATATTCAACCTGAGTGAAAGTGATGCATTTGTATGCAAGAGTGCACAATTTTGAGTAATTTATAAAATTTGTAAATATATAATATATTACCTAGAATTTGTTTTTTAAATTTAAATCTAAAATAGGTATACCAGCCTTGGTATACCTATATTATATTTAGCTAAGGCATATCTGCAATCATACAAAACTGCCAGATTTGTCTACATATAACTTGCAGAGAGTGCTTAGAATCTAGTGACTAGAATCTTTTTCTATGCTATGCTATTTAAAACTAAGATCCACTAGGTTTTGTACTATAAATAATAATCATACAAATATATCTATCTTAAAAAGTTTACTACTGTATAAAACCTTTTTGACAATACAAATTTTTTTCTACAAACTAACAATATGTCCTATCGTATTTTGACAAGACAGCGATTCAAGTCGCATCAAAATTATTATGAAATATTTTTAGTGAAATTTTAGTGTCTTACATAATAATTTAAAATTTACCGAGTGCAATGGCGTGTATAAAACCGTTAGGTGAGTACAATTTCCATGCATCGCTTATAAAATACGAGATGACCATAATCCCGATTAAAGCTGAGCGGGCAATTCACAGGCCCCGGGCCGGGCGCGTACCGACTGCCCACCACGGTGGGCTTCCCCTCCCATGACCCGTCCCGGAACCGCAGCCCCATGTTTTCGTTCGGCACCAACGGAGGAGCGCGAATTAAGCAGCTCGGACCCGGGCCCGCCTACCGCATCGACCGCATCACCCGCGACGGTGTCGTCACATCGCCCGCTTGGTCCTTCGGCGCGCGTCTGCCGGGCCGGCCTGCACAGCGCATCCCGGGACCCGGGGCGCACGCCCCCGAGCGGTGTCCGCCCACGCGCGATCCTCGCGCGCCACAGTACTCGATGGGCGCGCGGCTGGGCTACGCGGTGAAGCGGCCAGGCCCGGCGCCCAACGCTTACGCGCTGCGCCTAGGCCCTGGCAGTCCCGCCTACACGATGGGAGCGCGCGTCGGCTTTTCGCTCAAGCCGCGCTCGCCGGGTCCCGCCGTGTACTTCCAGCGGGACACGGACGTTTACCGCACGCGCGCGCCCGTATTCAGTCTCGCGGCGCGCTCGGAGGGCGCCGGCAAACCCACGAAGACGCCCGGCCCCGCCGCCTACCCTCCCCACTTGTACAACACCAAAAAGGTGAGCGTCGTCTGCCTAAAGCGCCAGCTAACCGAGGTGGCCGTACTCTTTAAAACGCTCGTATTGCTTGCAGAATCCCTACGCCTATTCCTTCGGCACGAAGCACGGGGACTACGCGTGTCCCATGATCATTAAGGAGGACACCATGGACTGCCTCTAGCCATCGAAACGTCGACTCGCATATCTTTTCGTTTTGGTAATTTCGGATATTAAAATGTGGGTTGGATTAAATATTTAATCTAAAATAATCGATACTGAATCGGAATTCGAGTCCCCGTATAGTTTCTAAAATTTAGCCAATGTGGGAGTAGATAATATATGAATATTGTTAGCTAAGGGGTCTCGACTATTGATGCCGCATTCTGAGGCGAAAATAAAAATTGCAAAATTAGATACGTAATTTTTTGTAAACTTCGCCTTGACGCGAAATAATCATTGAATGCATTTGTTACTGTCGCTTGTCGCTTGTCGTTTTGAATGAATTTTTTTTAATGTGTTAATAAAAACATTAAACTTGAGTGATATCTTTATTGTAGAGATCCTTAATAAACAATACATATTATCAGAACATGAGTTGTCGTTCAGGGCGAGGGGGACGACAATGGCAACAGTTCCGACCCGGAGCCTCTTGCGTCCTTCCCGTCTTCGCTCCCGCGCTGCACATAACATTAGGCTGACACAATGCAAAAGAAGTGAGGATTCAGACTTTCAGAGTCCAGGTTTTGCGTGACAAGAACTGGTTGTGCTGTCGAGGTGTAGACCCACCAACACCGACACAAATGAACCACAAAACGCCAAATAAGTAGTATAGGTAAATAGTCGTGTCGTTATAGTTTAAATTCATTGAGGCGGATTGTCATTACACACAGACCACAGGCTTAAACCACATAACTAAGACGACTCATTGGTCTAGTGGTTAGTACCCCTGACTGCGCATCCATGGGTCCCGGGTTCGATCCCCGGCTGAGACGAACATCGATGTGATGAACATTTGGTGTTGTGCTTAGGTCTTGGGTGTTTAAATATGTATTTATATGTCTATCTATATATAATATGTATGTATATCCGTTGCGTAGTACCCATAACACAAGCTTCACCAGCTTAGCATGGGACTAGGTCAATTGGTGTGAATTGTCTTAAAAAAAAAAAAAATACATAAGTTACTTACCTATCTTAAACTACGAGAAACAAGAGTAATGTGAAAAACATATACATTATCCCTGATGGCCATAATTGTTAGTTATGTTTATGTAAAGAGTCAGTGGTCCATTCGTAGTTATATCCCATGCTGTAAATATTATTACCTATTACATATGTAGTTTATTTGTATGTAGTGAGAAAAAAATGCAATACATTTTACGATGGAAAGTACGCAAAAAAGAAAATAAAACCTGATCGGGAAGGGGACGTTCATGGAAGTGGCGGTAGAGCAGCGCCGCGTACAGTAGGTTGGCGACGGCCAACGCCCGCAGAGTGGCGCCGAAGCCCGCCGCCCACCAAACGGCTCCAGCTGCCACGGGCCCCACGGCGTAGGCGGCGCTGGCGGCGGCCTGCAGAAGCGCGGCGGCGTGCGGCAGACTGTCGGCACGTGCCAGTAACGCGGGCACCAGGGCCGCGTCTAACGCACCGACGCCCGCGCCTACGCCGGCTTGCGCTATGGCCAGAGCCCCCAAAGAAGACGCGCGTGCCACAAGCACGCCGCCTAGCGCCACGCTGCAAAGCCCCGTCAGCGCAACCCGCTGCGCCCGCAGCCCGCGTCCGCCGCACAGCGCCGCCGCGACGCTCGTCGCTGCCAGGTACGCCACACTATCCGGCAGGAAAACCACACCTAGCTCCCAACGCTGGCGATATTAATAGAGTGGGGTCACAAAATTTATTACGTAAACTACAGTTCAGCATTCACGTTCAGCATCCGCTCTCATGCCTCACTCATACCCATGAACCATTTACCATACATACAGTCATTCGGCCTAAAAATCCACAATTATTTAGTTACAACACAAAGATAACCTTAATACAACATATTGAGACAGACTTTGCACTTAAGGTTCTGCAATTCACCTTCGATACTTTAGTCTTATACCTACAAGGTTTTTATTTATTTCAAACTCAAACTCAAAATATCTTTAGTCATGTAGGTAAACAATTACACTTATGAATTGTCAAGTTAAATTAATTGTAAATTTACATTTACTACCAGTTCGCAAGTCAAGGGCGTAGAGCGGGTAAGAAAAACTGGCAAGAAACTTTCCGCCACTCCTTTCAATCGTCAAGTATTGTCATACAAATTGTTTGAACTGGAGCAAATCAATCCCAAGGATTAGGATCATTTAATTTTATTTGAATAAAATAAAATAATTTAATTGTTTACCACTATACACATTCCACATTTCACACTGGCGTTTCTCTCCATAAACTATGTGATAGTATACCGCACCGACTGACTGCCGTAATTGAGAGTTGAACGGTTACCTGGGCACCGAAGCGACGCTCCAGCCACAGCGGCAAACAGGGTTCGAGAGCCGCCATGACGGAGGTGCTCAGGAACACCGCACCCGCACCCGCTCCGCACTCGTTCCACACGCCTTGCGCGCAGTCTCTCCACGCCGTACTCCGAGGCTCGTCGACGGCTGGCTGTTCAACCTTAAATAAGGCGTTGTAGTGTACCTTTTATTTATTTCTCACAAAAACTTAGGACTATGCAAGTGACAGTTATATACTATTATAAATAAATAATTGTCTTACTTCTGTTTAGGGAAAAAGCTAGTTTGTGTGAGACTGATGCCTGCTAAAGGTAAGAGTACCTGTGTTACAGGTCATCCTCCACTTCGGATCGACAGAAGGTCTTATACAATACAATACAAATAGTAGAGAAAAGTCTAGTGAGAATAAACAATCATTATTGCAATACTTATAGGAAAACACATATAAGGAAACCACATGGGGTATGTGTGTATGCGTAAATTATGTGTATGTGTGTGGGTGTGTGTCTGTGTATGTTTTATTACTTAAGTGTTAATCTAATAAAGCTAAAACTATTATACTAAAAATTTATTCCCTATTATTAACATAGATTAGCATCAACTTTATACTCAACTATTTAATTACGGTAAGCATTTTTTCTGTTTCCTCATAGTTGAGGTCCACAGTGCAACCGTCTTCTTGCACTCATGTTTTGTTAGAGGATATATGGAAATCGAAGTGTTGACCTTATTATACAAGTAATCCCCCAAAAAACAGAAGAATTTCTGGGCAAAACTTGTGCGAAAGGGCTTTGAAGTGCACACTATGCCTTTTCTACGCTTGTTATCTTTAAGGTGTTGGTCATAATTGATAAGTGAGTGCTTGCGTAAAATTGTGGCAAGAATGAACATTTGACGCACAGAGAGTACCTTCCAATGTCTGTATACCTCTGTGGTGGGACAAATGAAGGGAAGGGAGGCACTAACCTTGAGTATTGCCCTTTGAGCTCTCTCTACTTTCAGAAGGTGGGTTTTTGCTGAGCCACCCCAAGAAGTGATGCAATAGCTCAGAATGGATTGACCGACAGGTAGACAGTTTTTTTAATTGTGTTATTAGCAATGTGCCTCAGAATTTTGAATACATAAATCAGTTTTCTAATTCTATCTGCCAGTAGGTCAATATGAGCTTGGAAATTTAGATTAGGTATCTAGCATGACTTCCAAGTACTTTACTGTGCCTGCGGAGTGCAGCTTTGGACACCCGCAGTGCTCCCCGGTCAGACATGAACCAGCATGCATCATGCATCGCAAACGCACGACGGCAAATGAGTATACGATGCGAGGACTCACCTTATCGTATTCGGGTTTCTTCAAGTAGGCGTATTGCAATCCTAAAACAAAATAAACTCTGTATCAATCTATATGCACGTAATTTAGAATCGCCAATCTGTGTGCGAGCTACCGAAGTTCACGAGCAGCGCGCCGGCAACAAGGTGGAACGGCGCTGCCGAACTCCACAGAGCGGCCGTCGCGCCGCCCAGCGGATATCCCACGAGCACACCTGACGTGAAATCAACAAAAATATTACTTATTTTTCGATGCGTTTATGAATCTACCCGTCGCCGACACCGACGGACCTAGAGCGACGGCACCGAGCGACGCGCCGAGAGCTTGTTGTTGTCGCGACGGTGATACCGCTCGAGACACCAACGCCATCCCGGCTACGCCACCGAGCGCACCGCCCGACCCTTGCAGCACGCGCCCCGCGGCGCCGCACCACAAGCACGCCGCTCCACCCGCCGCGCACACGCTGCTGCCGCACCAAGACAGCCACGTCGCGGCTGCGAGTAGCAGCAGCACTGCTAGACGCAGCGTAGGGGCGGGCCCAACGCGCGTCGTCAGGGTGGCTGCCAAGGGTGCGCAGGCCAGTTGAGCGGCGGAGCGTGCGCCTAACACGGCACCCGCCGCCGCCGCCTCACTGCCGACTTCGCCGGCCAGCGAGAGCGTCGAGCCGTTACGCAGCATGGCGGGCGCCGCCGTCGCCCCGCTCCACTCCGGCAGGATCGGCACTGCACACAGGCGCAAGCTATAATATGTCGATTTTAAAACGAGCCGATACGGCACCAGGCGCGAAACACGACCGACCGAGTGCGGTGAGTAAAACGTTGTCCAAGAACAGTGTGCAGTACACGAGGAGGAAGGCGGCCGCGCCCGTTCGGCTCGTCGGCTCCAACGGAGAGTACGTCATGTCGCCGATACACCACCCGTACTGCCGCGTCCGTCGGCGGCTCGCGGAGAATCATCCCTCACCTTTGCGATGTAGGGTGTTCCGATACGACCGTGAGATTTACCAATGCATGGTTTGCTATTTTACGAATAACGGGTTAGCATTTTTGACACTACTTACATACGCTACAAAGTATTTATTTGTAAAAATACAATAAAAAAATATACCGGTGGCGATGTACCAACGAAATAACTCATTGATTACATACGAAAAATTCAGGTTGGTGTTATATACTTACAAAATTATTTATGTTACATAATTATGTTATGATTCTTTTTAGTTGTTAAATGAACAATTTAAATAAAATAGTATTTCACGGGTTTTAAATGCTAAATTCGTCGTGCCACGGCCCTGAGGGCCGGGCTCAGCTGATAACGCGTATTCAATCAGAGCGCAGCGGGACGCGAGTATCGCTCACTCAACCGCGACCTTATTTGCCGCCTCCACGCGTCTGATAACAATTAATTAAAATAAAAAAAATTACATTCTCAATGACCTCTTCAATCGCTTCTTAACATTAATAAGATCCTAGTCATTTCGATCGCGTTTTGCTATCGGATACTTTACCTTTTTATAATTTCACAAAACAGGACCAAATTCCAACAATTTAAAAGTAAATGTCTCGCTTAAAAAACTATACCACGTGGCGTCCGTTAGTCGTGTATAAACTAGTTTTTTTTACCTGACTACGGCAAAGCCAAAAGGAGATGTATGATTTTGGCCGTTCTGTCTTGTGCGCACACAACAGTTTCATTAAAAAATTATCCTACGACCTTTTTACGTCCAGAACATGCTTCGGTTGTGATGAAAATATAAGTGTTCTCTCTCTCTTCGCTTCTCTAGATGGATGATTACTACGTGTAGCTAAGTTGAAGTAGTTTTTCGTAATCAATTGTGTAAGGCTGATGCCGTTAATATTATAACATCAAAGTTAAGGCTTTAAGGTTTATATTTGATTTAAAAACTCTAAATCTCGATTCAAGGATACCAATTTTTCTCTTTGAGTTGTTGTGGTAGATAATGGTTGCCATCGATAGCTCCAATACAGCCTGGAAGATTCCATTTAGTGAGAAAACCATGATCTATCACTTTCCATACTGACACAATCATCGTCTCTTATAGTTAAACAAGCAAATCCATACTCTCAAACAAACACCGCAACAGTCGTCTACCTCACAAGTGAGGAGCTTAGGAACAAAAGGTGTCATTTACACTTTTCTTTTCTCTTAGTAAATAGGGAAAATAGAAATTCACCGTGATCTATGCAATTATTTTGAATTGTGTTAACCATATAATATGTGTCAGTTAGTAGCTAGATTTTAAAGTATATTAAAGTTTTTATTTAGACGTTAAAATTTAATAAAGTATTTATGATATGGCACCTTTTGATCCTACACTAAGTAAATCACCATTTGATTCAAAGGAATTGTAAAATGTCACCTTTTTCTTGGCACCTTTGATGAAATGACTCCTTCATTACCATAATCATGTCTCCTTTAAATTGAGATTGGTCAAGTTGGTGTTGCGCTTTTATAGATTTTTACCCTTTTTTTCTTCAACGCTTTGAAATTTATAGTTTCTGAAAGTTTTGACTTCTGCTTCAATTCTATTTCTCACAAGTTTCTTATCTATGCATCATATACGTTTCATGTCCTTTATGCCTTCAATTTTCTATTAATTTCTAAAAATATTTATTTTCGATAAAAACAAGTCTATGGATTTAGTGTTACTACAATGTCCTATCGATTTGAGTATCGATTTAATCAACATACAATGGAAGAATTCAAAACAGAATTCTCAGTAGGTATATATTATTTCTCTATGATTCAAAATCATTACATTTTGTCAAAAGAACGCATTTTGATACGACTTTAGTAGCGTGAAGCGTCGGCCTCATTTACTGAGAAAATGTCACTTCTTGTTCCGGACGCAGCTATTGAGTTTGATTTTACTACGAAATTAGTCATCTTTTGAAGTTGATACAACATTATATGATAGAATTCAGGGTTTTGAGGCCGATAGCAAAAAAACAAGTTAAGCTGAATACGTAAATGTCACCTTTTGTTCCTAAGCTCCTCAAGGACCTACTCGTACAAAACAACCCGTTCAAACAAAAGAAAACGTGGACAAGAAAATAAAACCTTAACTGCACTTCGACGCCTGGAATAAAATTAGCAGCTATTAATAATAATCCGTCGTGTATTTTAAAAAAAGGCTAGTTTTAGGTAAGAGCATTTTTATCTTTGGTGCGCCGGGTGCGGGGCAGCTCCAGCAACATCTTACGGATGATAGTCGAGAGGATGGAGTGCCCCTATTTACGACACTGCTCCGACATCTCCGCATGGCTTTGTACCTGATAGTTTTTATTTAACTACTTTTTTCTTATTTTTACTAATTCTACTAACATAGATCTTAAAAAAATTATTGTTACTAACTTACTAATCAATCAATGGACTGTATTTGTCTGATTAATAAAAAATATTATTATTATTACCATCTAGTATTCGCCAACGCAAAAGAAATATAATCTAAACTTCCAACGTCGATAACGTCTAATTTGTTGACTCCGTATTCTCAAACCGCCTACTCAGTTTTCTTACACAAGTATTCATTCTGGAGACGCAATAGTCTTCTGCCAATTGATGAACTTAACATATTCTGATACAGACACTGTTACTGAAAGGTCGGACATTTGGAGTGAAGCTTGGAGAAATGGTTCAAAGAGATGATGTATCGTTAAGAAGAATATTAAGGCAATTTTTTTACCACTTAATTAAAAATAAAAACAATCATTGATATAAACTCATTGTTTTACTCATCTGGATTAAAACCATCTTTTGATTCACAAATATGCCGTTGCTACTTGCAATACAATACTTATATTAATTCACTTTGAATGTTTTCAATTCCAAGCTAAGCCAACATGAACTGATAGAAACTAGGGTGCAACTTGCAAGTGTGCCAGGAAGTAAAGGCATGCAAATGAACTTGTATTCACTGTCTGCTAGAAGCTTCCTAATCCAATTAATTTGCATACAAGGCACTGCTAAGGGCATGTGTATTCCGGGCTTAACAAGTGTACCCAACGCTATCTATTAACACTAGAGTGTATCTTTAAGGCAGTAAATTTAATTAAACATTACAAACAAAAACAATAAGGCGTCTTCACTTTAATTAATACCTAAATAATTAAAATACCTAATACATGTTTCCTACTTCAATTCTAGAGGAAAATGCCGACATTTTCAGTATTTACAATTATTTATAGGTACAAAAGTTATTTAGGAGTTTTAAAGTGCCTCCTGCCTTCGGCATCGCCCGAAACTATGACGAAACAAAAGGAGCACGAAACTGTTTGGTGTTCTAGATGCTAGATTGTGACGCATTCCAACGCGACCTCACAAATAATTAAAATACTTACCTCGTTAGACGTTTGTTTATATAAATTGGGTAGGTTCGTCGCGTTATTTAAAGATTCCAGGAGAACGTGAGCGTGAGAACGGAAGACGAAACGATCGTACGCCACGTTCGGCCAATCACAATCGAAGGCAACGTAAGTCATCCACAGACAACATGATAATATTTGGATTGGATGGGATTCGATTTCTATTGTGAATTAATTAATACATTACATTTATATGTATACTTTTTAACATCTATTTAAGTATTTTAACCGTACCAACGAGGATAGCACAAATGAAAATACAGAGGTTTCTTTATATAATGTATAATTATATTTACATCTGAGTCATTACAATAATTTCTTTGAGAGTATATGCTGCACAGTACATAAACGGTTTCGCTATGTACTTCTTTGATCGGGTGTACCTAACGTTGTACAGTTTGAGTGACGTGAAGAACTTGATTCCGAAGAGAAATTAAATTCTGCACACAACGAATATATCTAAAATATTATTTATATGTAAATAAGTGAGTACTAGACGGTCGGTCGGTTACCAGCCCAACTTTAATGCGGCTCGGTCGCTCAACGCGCTCAACAGAATCGACTGTCACGAGGCCTGAGCCACGGCGCGAGAGCAAGACGCCACGCCGTTACATCTCTCTCTCTCTCTTTCCCTCTGTCTCGTCTCATCGTTTTTTACGAAAATAATCTCAAGTTAATCAGTAGTCTCTACTCTTAGGTACTTTAAATGTGACTTTACTGTTTAATACTGTTTTTTCCGAGCGATCCGTCGACACAGGTCACAATTAACTCCTGCTTAAAAGGAACGACGCCTGTAGACGAGGATTTTTGGAGGTTCCATTACCTCCCTTAAACATAAAATAAGGGGGTCGACGGTCAGACCCGTCGTTTTCAAAGTGTCTAAACTCTATGCTTATATTTTCGGAAAAGTTGAGAGAGATGCGACGACAATTAACTTAATCGACTAATCGCTGAGCGTCGTTCAAAAATATAAAAAAATAGTGCGTGTCCTGAAATCGGTTCGAGACGGTCGCGTCGGGAGTCTAGCCGGCGCACTTGGTCTTGCCGTCGAGCAGCTTCCGCCAGAGGTCGAACTGCTCGTGGAACTGCACCATGTGCAGCGAGAGGGCACGTTGCAGCGCACACGGGTGCGCGGGCGCTTTGCGGTTCAGGAACTCAGGCGCGTGCACGCGACGCACGGACGCCGCCGAGGCGACCACGCCTGTCACGAACACGTCCTCGAGGCGCAGGTACGGACGCCGCGCCGCCGCCGCCCTCAGTGTGCGCACGGCGTCCGCCGTCAGCAGGTAGGCCGGGCCCGTCGCGAATTCGGGGAACACGGCGCCCGCGAACTGCGCCACCGGCACGAAGTACTTCGATTTGCTTGTGCGCTTCGGCAGCGACTTCTTTACGACCTTGCCCCAGATGGTGTTCGTCGCGTTGACGCGCGCCGCCGCGAAGCGCAGCAACCGCGGCACGTTGATGAACATGTCGTCGTCGGTCTTGAGGAGGCGCGGCGCGCGCGGGCAGTACGTGTCGGCCCACTCGAGGATCGACAGCGTCTTGAGCGTGAGGTTTGAATACGAGTCGACGGAGCGCCCGACGACGAGGTCACCGTAGAGTGCGTCCTCGGCGTCGAGAGCGGGCCGCAGCGCCGACGGAGGTCGACCGAGCGCAAACGCAAACGCAACGTCGCGCCGAGCCGCGAAGTGGCCCCACGTGAGCCGAATGGCGTCACGTGCGCGCGCGTGCTCCGGCGCCGACGTCACCATGATGAGCACCTTGACGTGCGCGCCTAGCGCCGGGCACAGCTCGGGGTGGGGCCGCTCGTGTCCCGCCTCGTAGATGTCGCTCACGAGTGGCGCTCCCGGTGCCCGAGTCACTCTGTCGGCGGGTCTCGTCGCCGGCTTCACCGTACCGTTGGCGGGCGCCCGGTGCGTGACGTTGACGGGCGGGGCGGGCGGTGCGACAGCGAGCGGAAGAGGACGCGGCCGCAGCGGCGCGGTCGGGGCGGGTGGCGCGCGCGCGGCCAGCAGAAGCAGCAGCAGCGCGGCGAGCAGCATGAGCAGCAAGGCGGGCGAGCGCCGCAGGGCGCCCGAAGCTCCCGTCCCCCACCCGGACATGCCGCACTGATGACGTCGCTCTCTACACCTGCAAAACACGCCTCGAGCTGATTACTTCTGGTAGACGTAGACGTGGCCTTTTTACACGCTTTATATTAGCTTCACCTGTATGTATGTATGTATGTAACCGACTCCTTCGGACTCGATTTTGACCCACTTTTAACGGACAGATTTAATTCAAACTTTGCGCACCTGTCAAAGATCGATGACAATGCCATAATCCGAAAAAAAAAATTAAAAAATTTAACTAAAAAATAAAAAATTAATAATTGTTCAAAAAAACTAAAAAACACGCTTTTAAAGCACATCAAATCTGTGCGCTCTGTGCCATATTTTTCGTCTATCGAGCAACTCACACTTTTTCACAATAATACCAGTATTTTTTGTTCATTACCATTTTCAGCCTAAATTAGGAATTATTTTTCACTTTTTAGTTTGATGTGCTTTAAAAGCGTGTTTTTTAGTTTTTTAAACTATTATTTATTAGTTATATAATCTCTGCATCTTTAAGCGTGAAATGCAAGATTACGTTTCTCTTGTGAACAAATTTTGTAGTGAATTGTGCGAGATTAAAGGAAATATATATTTTAATAATAAGTAATTGATAAAAAAAAAACTAAAAAAACTAAATTGGGCCGAACCCCAGGTCCAGATAGCATCCCAGTAGAGGTCGTTACTCTTGGAAGGGGAGAACATAAACTTACTGAAACGATTATTCAATCACATTTATGACACAGGTGACCTCCCAACCGAGTGGCTAAGATCTACGTTTATTACCCTCCCGAAAAAAGAAAAACGCACGAAAATGCGAGGAATATCGTACAATTAGTCTTATGAGCCACGTGCTCAAGTTATTTTTGACCATCATACATAACAGGATAAGAAGTAAGTGTGACGAACAATTGGGAGATAACCAGTTTGGCTTTCGCTCTGGTGTAGGTACACGAGAGGCTCTTTTTGCTCTGAATGTCCTTGTACAGAAGTGTCAAGATATGCAGAATGACGTCTTCCTATGACTAGTGGTGCGTTCCACTAAGCGCTCACGACGATCACGCTCACGACCGCTGATTTCCCCATTCCACTTGATTGTGAATGTTACTAAAGTGGAATGGATTATGTCGTTAACTCAAGTGGAATGGATTATGGAGCGTTTCGGGCGTTCATGTAAATATTACAAATGTCAAGTTTGAAAATAGTAGAATTTTAAGGAGGTTAGGTAATCATAAACAATAAGTTTTGATATTTGTGACTTAAATTTATTTATGTTAAAAGTGAAGAATAATTGAATATTTTATAAATAATTTTGGTGAAGTTATCAAACAACTAAGTTTAAATATAATCGAAATAGCTTTACAATTTCTCTTTCTGAATCAAATAATCTTTAAGCTTTGAATATAATAATATTATTATTTGTCATATTTCAAAAAAAAATTCAAAAATTGCGCCAAATTATTCTCAACGTTCACAACGACCCACCTCTTTAGATGGGTCGTTGTGAGCGTTGCGTGAGCATTAGTCATGACGTCATGAGTGACGTTTTGGCCGTGACCACAACGACCGCGGTCGGTATGTGGAATGGCTAAAGGAGAATTTTGATCGTCGTGAGCGCTTAGTGGAACGCACCATATGAGAAAGCTTTTGACATGGTAAAGCATGACGTCCTCATAAATCGTTTAATTGACACCGGTCTCGATGAAAAGGATCTAAGAGTAATCAGAAACCTGTACAGAGACCAAAAAGCAACAGTGAAAGTGCATCATGAGGAAACGGATGAGATTAGTATTTACCGTGGTGTTCGTCAAGGTTGTATATTGTCTCCGTTGCTATTCAATGTATATTCCGAAGCAACTATATCAGAGGCCATTAAGGGGTTAGAGGTTGGTGTGAAAGTTAACGAAAAGATCATCAACAACATTCGCTATGCAGACGACACTGTTTTAATAGCCTCGTCGATGGATGATCTACAAATGCTTGTTGTTCATGAAACTAGCGAAAGAGACGGTCTGACTATTCATACAGTAAAGACGAAGGTGATGGTCATTTCTCAAAACGACACTTTGGGTCCTAATTTATCCGTAGCTGCGTCCCAAATACTTGTATTGCGGGTGCGGCAATACAAGTATTTGGGAACTTGGGTTACAAACGAGTGGAATCCTGATCAGGAAATTAGGTCTCGAATCGAAATTGCCCGAGGATCTTTCAACAAAATGAAAAAAGTTTTGTGCTGCCGTCACTTGACCATTAAACTCCGAGTCCGACTTCTCCTTTGTTACATATGGCCAATGTTGTGGCATATGTTCTGTACGGCTGTGAAGCTTGGACAATTAAAGAAGATACCCGCCGCGCTTAAAAGCATTTGAGATGTGGTGCTATCGTCGCATGCTTCGAATAAGCTGGATCCAGAAGGTCTCTAACGAGAAGGTTCTGAAACGAGTTGGAATGTCGAAAAAACTTTTGCAGAACATTAAACAACGGAAAGTTGCGTACCTGGGCCTCGTGTTGCACCATGACCGCTACCACCTCCATCAATTAATTATAATGGGTAAAATCCAGGGTAAACGGCGTGTTGGTAGGAGGAAGAAATCATGGCTTCGCAACGTCAGGGAGTGGACGGGTATTGCGACTGCGGAAGAGTTGCTGCATCTGGCACAGGACAAGACACGCTTCAAGATACTGACGGCCAACCTCCAGTAATGGAGAGGCACTAAAAGAAGAAGAAAAAAAACTAAGTAAATTAATTAACCGCAAAGCAAAGCGACCTCCCACAATCGCATGATTTCGTAATGATTGTGCAGCCGTAGCCTCGGAAGTAAGGCTGGCACGACGTATCGACTGTTTCAAATTACGAATGTACAATTATTTATTTTCTACGTACACATTTAGGTGTCCTTTATATCAATAATACGATTTATACGAACATTTAAAAGTCAAAATCATTTATTCATTTAAGTAACACAATGTACACTTATGTACGCCAATAAAGAAATACATATTAAATCCTAAATGCTTTAAATTTTACATTAACCTGCCAGTTCTCAAATCAAGGGTGAACGGACGGGAAGAACTGGGATAAACTCTCCACACCTCTCACCACACATTTGTGAACCACGGCGAATGAATACCGATGTTACGGGGCGGGCAGAGCGACATGACCAGTATCAGTAAAATATTGTATGTGTGTATATATTATATATATATATATATATAAAACAGTGTCTCATTCATTCATCGCCTTTTATTTCCAGGAGGGGATTAGGGGGTGTTGTAAAATATAGTTATAAGTAATTTTACATATTTTGTGTAAATCTTTATATATATAATTCTTCTGTGAGTGTGTATGTCACTGAACTTCTCTCAAACGACTGGACCGATTTTGATGAAATTTTTTGTGTGTGTTCAAGGGGATCTGGGAATGGTTTAGATTTACAAATCAGCCCGGCAGATGGCACTGCAGTCGGTACTTTCATACTTTGCTTAATATCCTAATCGCTTTAAATATCATGCAAGACAACGTCTGTGGGGTCCACTAGTCCTATATAAATCGATACAAAAAAAATCTATTGGGGATTACATACAATTTCTGTTTCATGACAATAAACTAATTTTTAATCGATAATAGTAATAGAAAAATAACATCAGTTTGTTAAGACTTCTGAGACTGAAGAAGGTTATGAATTGAAGCCGAATTTTTTGTGTATTTGTCGAGGTGCAAAATTTGAGATTTAAGCCTTTTTTCGATGTTGTAGCCCTAATTCTCTCCTAATCTAATATAAATAACATAATATATACGTACTTACGTATTTTTAATGTTTGCAAAAAATCAAATTTTACAGATAATAGGATAATATATAAATCTATCAGCGAGGGAGAACGTTATGGTAACACGTGTTAGTAGATTATGACATTTTCCTTTGAATAGTTGTATTGTAGAGGGAGGGTAAAACTTGCTGAGTTTCTTGCCCGTTCTTCTCAGAACAAGGCCTCCTGGTAGTTTTGCGAACGGATGGCGTAGTCTTGCTCTTTCGCGAATTCTGTAAACGTTTTTGACATTCATAAGCATGCCCTAAGACGCCTCTAAATTGAATAAACGTATTTTGATTGATTGAGTAGTTTTCTTTTTTTTTGAGATATGTTGTGACGACTGTTTTGATGACGAGAGCAACTTCGCCATTGAAAATTTGTCTCTACTGATTTGTGGTTTTTCTACTATTCTCTAATCTTTGCGACTTATACCGACATACCCTGCATCATTTGTACTTCAATGACTGCCGAGGTCACTCATTCGACCTTTGCCTAAGAATAATGATTTATCGTGCGTCAAGTTAACAATACTTTGATCACAACACACTCTATAATAGTTTAGTATGACGCAGCCAGACAGAGACTATCTTTTGGTCTCTAGTGATCCATTGTATTTACGAATACATTTTGTAAAGAAGATTAATTAATCTGCTGTGTTGGTGTCGGTTTCAAAATGCAGCCAGATGTTCTGCATCAATGTTATGTCTAGTGGGTGATTGCCCTGTATTGTCGCTCGTCTTTGGTGAACGTGTTTGATCGCGCTTTGCACCGGGTCAAGGCCCTCTAAAACGCTAACGGGACCTTCACACATCGATTTGATTTCAACTAACCAATAATAATAAAAACGTATGACATTAATTTTATCATTCCTAGATACCGCGATATTACAGAGAGAGAACGTACACAACGTTTCATACAATTTTATGCATATCTCGGAACTAGTTGCCAAGGAACCTTCACACTTGACAGCTTGGTGGTAAATAATATTGAGGAGTCATCTTACTTTAGAGTTGAGACCTTAGTCTATCTGACTCATGTAAACTTCTAAACTTATATTATGCAGTATGTTATTATTTGATTTAAAATCTAAAATACAATTTAAGAGAAAATCAATGAAGACCCAAAACCAAGATTTTATAATTTCAATGTTGATTGATTATGACCCAACCAAAATGAAGGTATCATTAAAGTTAAAACTG